TTTATGAAAACAATCATTATTGCAAGCTCATTATGCATGATCTATTGCACACTCATTCAAAATTTAGTAAAGATTCCCAATGTGCTATATTTTGCATTCAAAATAAAATAGGAGAGATGAAAATGGGTGTATTTATAGCGTATATATATATATGGATGAATGTAATATTCAACTAATACTATATAAATGTGGTTAATGATATAATCATAATAATTTAGCTTATTATGAATTTTCCAGTTCTTGAATGAATGCATGGGATTCCAATAACTAAGATATATGTTATGACAAAGCAACGGATAAGAATGAACTATAATGATATACAAGAAAAAATAAATAAATTTCGAGCATATGCCGAACTCGAAAAGTGGTTATCATTAGGTTTTTTTTTTTTTTTTGATTTGTGGGTTCCCTGTGGAAATTTACATGTCATTAATGTCCCAGGCGTTCCACGAAAAAAGCACTTTTTCGCTTATAAAGTTGAAATTAAAATAAATGTCTGAAAAAAATCATCAGATTCCTGTTTAAAATCATCGGAGCTTTGCAACAATGTAAATTGTATTGAATAAAAAGCAGTTTGAAAAACACCCATACAATTTCTTTATTTTTAAGTATTTTCAAAATCTAACTTCATATTTGTGTAGCCATTGAAATACGCTTTCCAACGATGTGCATTTTGTTCAAAATAAAGCAGTTTGAAAATTCAATTTTGGTTTTTCGCCGTTTTGGTCATTTGCGGGATTCCTGTGGTGTAGTCCAGGGGAATGACCGCAGTTATTTACATGCCTAATTTCTGCGCTTTGAAATCATCATTTTGAAAAATTTTTTTTATGGTTACCTTTATTAGTCTACAAAGAGCGTCCACACTAAGTTTCAAATGGATAGAAATTCTAAAAGCGGAATGACAAGCAAAAAAGTGGAATTTTGAACAAAACTTACAGTCCTCAACTTTGATCTCTAATAACATCCTAATATTATCCTTTTTCGAAAAACTAATTACAGATTCATTGCGCGTTTGAACTCAGCTTTCCAACGATGTAAGTCTTGTTAAAAACAAARCAGTTTGAAAATTTCGAAATTTTTGGRCCAACTCGAAAAATCGTAAAAAACGCTGTTTTTCGTCCTTTTTTTCACTAGGGTTATTTCTCCGCAACTAGAYCGATTTAGWTCATTCTTTTTGGCATGTATATAGAGTGATAACCAGTGTTTATCGTGGTGGTCTTGATGTTTTGATTGAAATTTTGGAAATAGGAGAAAAACGCTTGTAAAGTGAGAGGAAAAATCACCGTTTGAGCATCTCCCGAAATCCTATTAAAACGTAGTGACACGAACTAAAAGCTATAGAAATGCTATCTTCTGGTGTAGAATAGAGGAAATCTAAAAACAATGGTAAAAAAAAATCATTTTTAACGAAAATATAGGCTTTTATTTTTTTCGCCATTTTGATAATTTGCGGGTTCCCTATGCTAATTTGCATATCGAGAAAAATGGAAAAGGTTTTTTTTTGCATTTATAAAGATTTATCATATTTACCTGGAGGGCKTTATACCTTCTTTCCAATGGATTTKATTGCTCTGCTTCAAGGAGTTCTTAATTTTCAATAAATTAATTTATTTGCATGATTCCCGCATCAGACCAGGTCTCATTCCAAAGTATTTTGGTCACAGTAATTTTTTTGATTAATAATCATTACTAATKGTGAGACGTGGTCTGAACATGGATTTTTTTTCTTGCATTATTTTTACATTTTCTTCTAGGCGTTCCTTTCTTGCCCAGGCCTAACCGCGCRCACAAGCACATGTCCGCCATTACTTCGACTGAGAAAGAACAAGTACAAAGAAATACTAGAAAGAAATTACACTGTTTAAAAGGTATTTTATTGAAAAAYCATACAATAATACTATAAATCATGCTATCATGTCTATTTCAATGCAATGTTTATTTGTTGTACATTTCATATCTTGATGTTGTTTGTCGATTTCTGACCTCGGAAACCCTCCAGGTTCGTGCTGCATGCCRTCACTTTTATTGATGTAGTAGCCTAGTTAAGCAATCTTTAATTATTTCCTATGATATAATGTTCTGATAATGTTCTCTAAAGTCTTTCTTGAGCTTGCATATGGCTTGTATTCAGGTGAAATGTCTTCGTCTTGAATTGTCAACATGGCTGCTGTCTAAAGGTAAAAGGTGAGAAGAACTTAGTCAAACTTCATAAAGCTTGACATTCCTTGTTGATTTTATGACTTTCAAGTTGTGAATGTCAATCAAACCGGGCAATGGGAAAATAAATTGATTGATTAATGGTGGAGTGGGAGGGGAGGGGACAGAGGTTTCTGTGTTTTTATTGCATTTCTGTTAAAAATATTGCATAGTAAAGTTGTATTTGTATGAGTTGGAAAACTGATTATCATTTTATTTCTAACTGTCTTTTAGATATTTTTAAACCGCTTAGTGGTCTACTGTATGGTACAGTCAGTTTCATACTCATATTGTTTACAATGTCATTCATTAAACTTTCTTTATTTCTCTATGTTTTAGTCAAACTGGCATCGTCAAGTACATGTAGCAGCAGCTGTAGCCTACCAACCTACCTTGTAATTTAATTAGTGGCTGGACAGGAGCTGGATTAATTTTGCATGCAACAACTGAAAAATAAAATGCAACAAAACTGACAAAAATAAAATACTGGACTGCCTTCTAGGAATATAAATGAGATTATCAAACTTCAAGCAAGTCAGACAATTATGTGATTACTGAATGGTCCAGAATGTACTCAATTGCATACAGTATCAAATATGGATTTTTGATGCAAAGAGAATGCTACAAGTTTCATAATCTCAATTTGTACCATTATTGCTGCAGTTGAGCATCAAACTTTTCAGTAATCTTTGATGTATTTACATRAATATTTTGGGTATTAAAGAGTAATGCAAAAGTGATGTTCAAGTGCAGATTCACAGAAGGCAATCCAGTAAACCATGTTGACTGTTGGATATCAATTCTTTTCCATTCTATACTAGCCAACATTACATCCAGTTTTCACTACATTAGAGTTGTTTTTGTAAACTTGTGAAATACACTTTGGCATATATGTACTATTTTTTATATCTCTCTTTGTTCAATGATTTTCATTGTCTTGTTTTTCTTGATGTTTTACAACATTTTTAATGTATTCTCACAGTTTTATGAAAGTTACTCTAATGTTAGTGTTCATGGGGTAATGCTGTGT